AAATTCCTTTCGATAGTTAAGAAAATTTGATAACTACATAATCAAATAGTGAGAAATCATATATATCAGTTAATAATAAAAGTAAAGAAATGCTTTTATTTAACAGAGTTCCAATTTCTGGTTCTTTAGAGAAGGTATTGTTATTTTTTGTGCTCAAGGTCAATGTTAAACAGACAAAATTCACAAATTAAATGCCACTGATAGTGACATATAGAGGGTCAAATGGCATCAGTATTAGAAAACCAGAACCTGGAAAAATCCAACATAATAGACAGCTTTTGAACTTAGAGAAAAGACTGAAAAATGAGGAGGCTGATACAGTACAAGAGAAAATGAGGTTTGCAATATTCAGATGCTCATTCATTTTAGACTGTAGCTAAACTGCCTGAAATCCTTTTCATATTTTGCAAAGATCGAACATATTAGGAATGTCAAAACAATGTTAGGTAACCCCTTTAAAGTGTCAAAATACCTGCTCAGAATGAAAGAAAGATTTGCAAAGTTCAGGGCTATGAAGAACACAGTTAAATAGTGATGTTGAGAGGAGAAAAATTACGGGGAGTCAGCCTGGCACTGCAATGTCAACACAGACACTTACTAAGGGGGTGACTTCATGCAAAATGCTGAAATTTAGATCCTGTGTTTCTTCACTTGTAAATAAGGGTGGTAATACCTATTTTAAACATTCCCTAAGAGACTGAGGGGGGAGAAAAATGATGTAGGCAAGGTTTCAGACAGCAGTTAGTGTTATTAGTCTACTTATCTTTGATCTGTCCTGAAGTCACAAATTAAAAGCAGTATTTCCTGCTTATTTTCCCCTTGCCTTCATGCAGCTTTATAACCCATGGTGATTTACCACATTTTAAAGGCAGGATTATTTGCCAAGCTTCTTCATGTCCCATTTCTAGCTTCTTCTGTATCCTCAAAGACCAGCATGACAAATACAAGTACTTCAAATGAAACATCACCTCTCATAATTGCTGCTTCACTAAAATGTAGCTAACTGCAGTTTTATGTTCTATACTGCTGTGCACCATAATGGTAGCATCACATCTTTCATTATTTCAGAATCATACAACTTGTCTGATTCTTGTTGTTGTTGTTGTTGTTATGTGCCATCAAGTCAAACCTGACTCATAGCTACCCCTCCTTGGGTTTCCGAGGCAGTATCACTACGGAAGTAGGATTGCCCAACCTTCCTTCCGAGGAGTGGCTGGTGGGTTTGAGCCGCCAGCCTTCTGGTTAGCAGGCAAGTGTCTTAGCCACTATGTCTGATTCTAGAACTCCAAAATATTTAGTCTAAAATCTTAATTACAGTATCACAGTTGCATATTGACCTAGAAAAACACATGGAATTTTGTGATAGTAATTGTCAGATTCTGTTCATTTTGCCAAATTTTGAGACAGGGATTCTTATAGAACTTTATCCTATATAAATCATTTCCTTACATAGAAATCACCAGTATTCTACCAAAGTACATTGTAATAAAATCTCTTCCTATATATGAGTGTACCTTATAGTAAAATGTACTACCAATAGAAAATTAAGAGAAAGAAAGTGAATCTTCAGGACAATTACAAGATTTGGTGTTGTATTACAGCATATATTGCATGGGGGGAAGAACTTCATCAGGGCAATGGTTCATGACTTAATTACATGATTCCCAGTGCAATTACATGCAGAAGTACCCAGGCTTTTCTTCATAGAGTCAACCAAAGAGAGCTATTATTAGAACCTGTAGATAAAATATCTTGCATAGTTTTAGAAACTGTGTGTAGCTGCTATTCTGGTGATGCTAAAGGCAATCACAGATTGGCCAAAGAGAGTCATATAATACAGTGCTTTATTCTTTTATTCATGAAATAATCAGGACACAGGCATAATTCCAATGAGAGACTTTTTAGGTTAATTAATCCACTTTTACTAATAGTAGATTCATTTTGCCCTCCAGAATATTATTAAACTAATGAGGGGAGGTTTAAAGGTGTGAATATAATAATAGCAAACTGGAAGAGTGAAAATTTTCTATTTTTGCAGGCAGATGTATTTTTGTGTATATATATTTCTATTTAACTTAAGCATCACCTAAAATAACAGTTTTCTTTATTTCTATAACTGCAATAACTATTGGGAGGTGGCAAAGAAATTTGCTCCATTTCTTTTTTGTTTTGCCTTTCATCAGTAGAGGTACAACAACTTCTCACCACAAAAATGAGAAAACATGACAAAACATTTCCTAGCCCAGTTTAATTAATAGGGACCATATTTTTATGATTTAATGGATGATGTACAGAGTGTGCACTTCAGAATTTAAATTTTGAAAGCTATGTTGACTGATTACAAAAACTGTGCTGCCATCTATGACATTTGATTATAAGTTCCTAGGAAAATATTACAATACTTTATGTTAATTGCCTTCCATGTTTCACAAGTTTACATATATTTAAAGTCATATGTTTTAGCATTTCAAGTAAATGTTGAGAAAAATGTCAGTTGGGCAAAAAAAAAAAAAAAAAAAAAAAAAAAAGAAAGGAATATATTCCCCATATTTCCAAAAAAAAAAAAAAAAAGGAGCAAATAACTCAAAAGAATCTTAATACTGCCATAACCTAAATACATTTACTTATGATTATAAATAAATAATCTATAATAAAGAAGGTAATGTCAATAACTAAAATATTTTTGAGCTGAGTTTCAACTCAGCTTTCTAAAGTTCTAAAGGCTAAAAGTTATGAATATGTTTAATAAAAATAGTGTTATACCTTTGGCATTTATCATAAACAAACAGAAAAAAAGGACCTAAGAATAGCTTTGTCTGTAGAGAAACAATCATGGGTTTGGACTTCAGAGATTGTTTCTAGGCATGTGGGCCAAAGTACTTACTTATCTAAACAGACATTTAAAAAATAAATAAATAAATACTCTGTGAACAACATGGTTGCTAGAAAGTATAACCTTGAAATTCAGCTAGATTCTCCAGACATTGACACAGATCAAGGCCTAAAATTATTAGGTGATTATTAGGTCACATTAACTGTAACTGGGTGAGAAAGAAAATGAGCTAAAATGAGAAAGTGAATGTTTTCTAAGAGTTTATATTCTCTAAACAGCCTAATACTTGACAGGCTTTTGAAAGACAGTAAAATTTAAATTTTTATAATGATGAAACTATGTTTATTCATACCAAATTTAAATGTATGTACCCTAAAGTTAAGTACACATTATTTTTGTGTTCAAGTAGTATTTATCTGGTCCATATTCACCACACATACAGAAAATATAGTTAGTGAATTTTAGACTACAGCTTTTCTTGATCATTGATTTTATGTTTTGTAAATTTCTGAAGTATTAGATTTACTCTGCTTCTTTTTACTATACAACACATATAGCGCTCTAGTAAATGTTTGATATGATATTCTCTATTTTTCATTTGATCCTCCTTTAAAAAATAATGCCTATTTTCTATCTCATGCTCTGCCTAAAATGTATTATAATACTTTAATAGGAAATTGTTTAACAATTGTATTCTAAATTATCATGATAGTTGGAAGAAGGCAAAAAAGAAATGATCAAAGATTACTCTTCTGGAGAAGAACATACAAATTCCCACCAAGACGACTCCCTCTGCTCTTCCATTTCTCATTCTAATTCAGAGGAGTACTAAACAATTTTGATTCCATACCACCATCCCTCCTTCTCTCCATTTAATGAATCAGTTTTGTTCCAGTGTGTGTCCTTCTCATCAAGACTTAAGAGGAGATAAACCCCATTTCTAGCTCATGGGCATGACATCCATCTGATGGGTCATAACCATTTAATTGGGGACTTTACTTGCCTCATGGTTGAATAAATGACCTAAGTTGATAAATTAGACTGCAGAGAAAACCTTTTATTCAATGTTATGAGGAAACAGTCTTCCTTTCTTCTATGGAACAACAAAGAACCACGACAATTTTGTTTCATGGCAAAGACCAATACTGAAAGCATCCAGTTACAAGAAAAGACTTTATTTTCCCCTTTGATTCTCCTAAACATATGAGTTCCCCAAGAAGGTAGAGTGCTTGATGATGGAAGAGGCAAAATATGCTGTGGCCTTAATATGCTGTTTACCATGTCTCTTTGAAGAATGATAAGTGAGAGAAGGGTTTAAAACACTGGGCAATGTAGGAGAAGGTTAGGTGGTCCTGGAAGTACCAAAATGTTAGTATACAATAGGCAAATACGTAACTTCTATTTATGGTATGGGTTACAATATTTAATTTAGGAAATTCTAACATATACTCTTGGGTTCTTCTTGTAACTCTGTTGGAGTTTTATCCATTTTGAGGACCATCAGCATGCAATTAAATGAATCACTACTTTATTTAAATTCTGAAGAATATTTGGTTTTGTCATTATTTTCTGTTGTTTATTGACATAATAATATTTCCACAGACCAAAATATTGTATTGCTCATATAGCTAGACATATAATCATTATTGTATAATATAGAAAATAATTTTTGGTATTGTCTTCAGCATTTAATAATGAAAAACATCCTTAGAAAAAAATAATAAAATAGTTCTTCAGTATTAAAATTTCTTATTAAAAAGCATTAGATAAAAGTTAAAAGTATGACATGGCATTAGTGCATAGATGAGTTAAACATGAATAAAATTAATCTAACCACACTTCTTAGAGTAAATCAATATATTTGAAATCAGTAGGTCACAGTTTGTCATAAGTCAATAGAAAAAAATAATGTATTCATATTTCTTCATTATTCTCTGGCTTTGAAGATGAAACACTTAAAGTAATTCCTATTCAAATATAAACAATGTACTGAATACTTACCAGGTAATTTTTATGCCACTTTGCTGAATGCAGGATTAATATATTTGGGCTTTTTATTGCTTGCGTAGAAAGTGCTCATTAATTATAATTTTATGTTTATAATATAGAAATTAAAAAAGAAGTTTTTTCTTTTCCTTTTCTTTTTTTTTTTTTTAAATGGCATACATCACACTGTTGTAGTGGTTGATTTCCTCAAAATCGTCTTCTGTGGTTTTGGTGCAGTGGGAGGAGGCACTGTTGCAGGTCTGAGAGGGGGGAAGCTGTTACTGTGGCTTATTCCCAAGCCCCCATTCTCTAGCGGCAAAGGAGGGAGATGGGGTGGTGGAGGAAGGTGAAGGCCTTGGTGAGGAATCTTTCCTGGTGGATGGACAGGTTCACTGTGTAAGTGGACCTCCCTGTTTTTTATGTTATACCGGGTATCACAGTCAGGACAATAGCCATGGTACTGCACTTTTTCATTAAACCGTACTCTTTCCCGAGGCCCTGCCTGGGGACACCTGTCTTTTTCAGGTCTATGCATCAGAGGCTGCACTGGAGCCTTGTCCAAGTTACTATTGGGTATGCAGCAGATATCCCCATTTGGAATTTTGTTGGGACCTCCTGGTAATCCTCCATTTCGTAGTAGGGTGCCATTGGTCTTTAAAGGATTGACAGTTGGCACGACCCTTTGGGGGTTTTCACATTTCACAGGTGTCAACCGTGGAGGAGGTGGTGGAGGGTTTGGCTTTCTCAGAACTGTGAGGATAGCAGATGAGTGTGCCGGAGGTTTAATGAAAGGTGCATTGGTCTGCAGTTTGATCTTCTCTATGCTGGAAGCTGTTGTGCCGCTGGAGCTACTATTCAGGGTGTCGGTTTTGGAGCTGTCAGTCATCTCATCCTCCAGCTGTAGGTCAGAGGTCAGGGTATCAATCTGGTCAACCACCTGGTGGAAAGGACAAGGTAATTGTGTTGAAGAATGATCCCAAATGAAATATAATAGAAGCAATTTTGTCCTTTCTATTTTTAACCTACTATGGGAGCCTTAACTAACACTGAACTGAAGGTTGCATTACTGCTCAAAGTTTTCATTCAATACATTTACAGAATAGCTGCCATACCCAAGGCACCAGTTTTTTGATAATGAAATGATTTCACATGCCCAGAATATAAAATTATATTTGAGTATATGTCTTATTCCTACTCAGCTATACCCATCAAATGTGGAATCCTGAAGCATAAATATTATTGACTTTTAAAAATAAGGAGGGCAGACCCCTTCTGCATGCAATGCAGAAATTTACAGAATATTGTTCCCACCCTAAAAATAAAGAAATTCTAGATAAATTTTAAAATCATAACTTTTCTTGAGACTAACAGAGAACTAATATGCCTTGTGAGGCAATTAGACAACCTGAAATGCAGAGTTTCAAGTCCTCTGAGCAGAGCTAAGACATGTAAACTGTTGCACCTTTGCCAAATTACAGTATAAAAAGGGGATAATCATGAAAATGAATTAAGAAAACAGCTAAAATGTTAATAAATTATTAAAGGCTGAGTATGTGCTATCCTGAGAGTTTACCATCACTGAAAGTCCTAGACCAGTTGGAGTCTGTACTCACTCCTTGCCTTTTTCCCACGGGCTTTCCTGTGAGAGACTGAGAACAGGGTAGGGGAGTAGCCAGAGTCCCCAGTGGTGACATATAGACACAAAAACTTTCCAGATCCTTTTTCATACAAAATAGCAATCTTTTTTTTCCCATGGGCCTCTCCTGTGAGAGACTGAGAGTGGGGTAAAGGAGTAGCCAGAGTCCCCAGTGATGACATATAAACACAAAAACATATCTACTTCCCAGATCCTTTTTCATACAAAACAGGGATATTAAGTCATTTGGAAAGTAGCAGGAAATCTTCCAAACTCCAGACACAGACAAAGGTTCCCTGTGTCTGAGAGAGGAAAGGAACAAAAGTTATCTAACCCTGGGGGAAAAGGCAAAAACTTCTTGGTCCCAGGATACTATATTAACAAAAACTAGATGTTTGCTACCACTGGTGGAAAGGCAGAAACTCCTAACTGCTCAAGACCTATCAAAGATACAAGGCAGAGTTTGACTGCTCAGAGTGGGTGGATAGAAACCAATGGAAGGCCCTACCCCTGATGTGAAAGTGTACAGGGTCTGTCTAAGCCCAGAGAAGGACAACCAGAACTGAGAACCAACCCAATGCCACACCACAAGTCAAACACCAAGTAAGAAGTAACAGCAGGATATTCCTGGAGAAGACAGATTCAACTGTATCATAGGGTGGAGCAAAATATTGAGAAGAGGCCCTCTGGAACTTGAAGCATTATATGAAGCACAAAACAACAGCAGCCCACTTACAGAGGAATTTAAAGTACATGGTACAATGAAGATAGGTCTAACATTAACAAAATATATATCATCTCTACTATTTACTACATTAACTAAATCTCCACAATAAATGCTAGAAAGAAGAATGCCCGTTTCTGGACATAAATACTATTTGCAATAGTTTGTATTGTATGTCACATGATGTCCACCATTTAGTCAAAAATTACAAGATACACACATTATAAATAAATAAGTAAATAAATAAATAAATAAATACCCATTGCAAAGAGAGAAAGCAACCTAGATAAAATCTGGAAACAACCTAGATGTTGGAAAACTAAGACAGGATTTTAAAATAATTCTGATAATATATTAAAGGATCTAGTGGGTGAACTGGAGAAACTCCATGTAGATATGAAGAATTTCACCTGGGAGATGGAAACTATGAAAAATTAAAATGTAAATGCTAATAATAAAAGTAAGAGTAATTTTCCTGTGCCCATAAAAGTGTGTCTGTACAATAAAATTAGGTCAATAGCAGAACCACATCATAACACAGCAGACAGCTGTGTTAGTCCAGGTCCTCCAAAGAAGACAAGTAGGTGAAATGAAATGTGTAAGATATTTACTAAGGGAAATGCCTGTGAGAAAAAATGGAGAGGGAGTCAGATGAGGTTGGAAGAGTCATCAGACCATTATGTTGGTCTCACCCTACTTGAAAGAGACAAGTTATGAAAACAGGAAAAGTTGGTGGAAGTATCTGAGTGCAGTTCTCGAAAAGATTGATATAGTCGAGTTGTCCTGAGTGAAAGTCACTCATCAAGAGAATCTGGTAACTCACAATAGGCTTGCTTTAGCATCTCAGCTGTGTTAAGTCATGGGTGGGGGGCAATTTGCAGAAAACGTGGTTTAGGCTCAAATGTTGGACTGCAGAGTAGTGAAGAGTTTTATGTTCCCTGCAATCAGTCTCAGAAGTGTATTTTCATGGCCACCACACATATACTATTATACATATAAAAAGATGGAAAAGATATAGACTGCTTTAAGAATATTTTATTGCTGAAGGAGATCTATTTTTGTAAGGATGCACATTTCCTCTTACTCAGGCCTAAATTCTCTTCAACTGTGAAGTTGAATCTCTGATGAATGGTGGTAGAATTGAGCTCAAAATGAAAATATCTTAAGGATCAAGAAATTGGGGAAGGTATAGAATTTGATTCTTCCACTTCAGATATTTCAGCAACTGATTTATGTTGTAAAAATGCAACAAACTACCCCAGGAGCTCTGAATGAGGAGATTGACACCTCATCAGAAAGGCTAGTGAACAAATAATTCATATAATGTGAACACTAAATTTCAAACAGTCAATGAAAATAGGCTCAGCATCCCTGGTAATCAAGGTGATGCAAACTGAAAAATTAGGCAGCAATTCATACATAATTGTTGTTGTTGTTGTTAGGTGCTGTTGAGTAGACTCTGACTCATAGTGACCCTGTGTACAACAGAATGAAACAATGCCCAGGCCTGTGTGAGGCTCACAATCCTCGCTATGCTGGAGCCCAGCATTGCAGTCCCTGTGTCAATACACTTTGTTGAGGGTCTTCCTCTTCTTCTCTGACCCTCTCCTTTACCAAGCATGATATCCTTCTCCAGGGAGTGGTTCCTTCTCACAATATGACCAAAGTAGGTGAGACAAAGGCTGGCCATTCTTCCTTCCAAGGAGTATTTTGGCTGAACTTATTCCAGGACAGATTTGTTCATCCTTCTGGCACTACATGGTATTTTCAGTATTCTTCACCAAGATCACAGTTCAAAGGCATCTACTCTTCTTAGGTCTTCCTTATTCATTGTCCAGCTTTCACATGCACATGAGGCTATTGGAAATACCATGGGTTGGGTTAGATGTACCTTAGTTTTTAAAGTTACATCTTTGCTCTTCAACACTTTAAAGAGGTCTTTTGCAGCAGTTTTTCCCAGTACAATATGACTTCTGATTTCTTGACTGCTGCTTACATGGATACTGATTATGAACCCAAGTACAATGAAATCCCTGACAACTTCAATCTTTTCTCATACTCAACAGTGTTTGTTAAAAATAAAACACTAATAATTGCCATTGGTACTGGTTTTGTGGTTTTAAAATAGAAAGGCCTTAAAAAATGATGGAAACTAGCCATCGTTTTTTAATACCTTTTCATTTTTCAAGGCGTTTTGTGATAGGCACTCTGGTGGTACAGTGGTTAGAGCATTTACTAACTCATTGTTACAGCTACTGTGTCAATACATCTTGTTGAGTGTCTTTCCACTTTCTGTTGACCCTCTACTTTACCAAGCCTGATTTCCTTCTTCAGGGAATGGTCCCTTCTGACAAGATGACCAAAGTATATGAGATAAAGTCTGGCAATTCTTGCTTCTAATGAGCACTCTAACTGCATATCTTCCAGGAAAGATTTGTTCATTTATCTGGTACTCTAGGAGCTCTGGTAGCATAGTGCCTAAGACATTTGACTGCTAACCAGAATGCTGGCGGTTCAAACCCACCAGTCACTCTGCAGAAGGAAGGTTGGGCAATCTACTTCCATAGTGATACTGCCTTGGAAACATGAGGAGGGGTTGCTATGAGTTGGAGCAGACTCCATGGCACATAACAACAACAACAACAATCTGGTACTCTGGTATTTTCAGCATTCTTCACCAACAACATAATTCAAAGCATCAACTTTTCTTCGGTCTTCTTTATTCATTATCCAGCTTTCATATGCATATGAGGTGATTGAAAATTCCATGCCATGGATCAGGTACACCTTAGTCTTCAATTGCACACCTTTGTTACTTAACATTATAAAGAGGTTTTTTGCAGCAGATTTGTCCAATGCAATATGACATCTGATCTCTTATTTTTTGACTGATGCTTCCATTGATGTTGATTGTGGACCCAAGTAAAATTAAATCCCTAACTATTTCAATATTTTCTCTATTTATTGTGATGTTGCTTATTGATCCAGTTATCAAGATTTTTGTTTTCTTTACATTATAATCCATCAGTAAGTGCTTCAAGTTATCTTCACTTTCAGCAAGCAAGGTGGTGTCATCTGCATATTGCAGGTTGTTAATGAGCCTTCCTCCAATCCTGATGCTATATTCTTTTTCATATAATCCATCTTATTGGATTACTTGCTCAGCATACAGACTGTATAATATGTTGAAAATATACAACTCTGATGCATATCCTTCCTGGTTTATAAAGCATGAAGTATCTTCTTACTCTGTTCCAATAGGAGCCTCTTGGTCTATGTATAGGTTCTTCATGACCACAATTAGTATTCTGGAATTCCCATTATTAGCACCATTATCCATAATTTGTTATCATACACACAATAGAATGTCTTTGCATAGTCAATAAAACACAGATAAAATCTTTCTGTTATTTTTTTGCTTTCAGCCAAGATCCATCTGACATCAGCAATGATATCCTTTGTCCCATGCCCTCTTCTGAATCTGGGTTGAATTCATGGTAGTCCCATGTCAGTACATTGCTACAAACATTTTTGAATTATTTTCAGCAAGATTGTACTTCTGTGTGATATTATTAAT